GGGAACTGGCAACAGTGGTAGAACACAAAGGAACACAAAGGAACCCTTAAGTGTGAGAAAACAGCGCGGCTCTCTGCTCTTTGAGGTCTCCCCGCTTTGGGTATAAACAAAAATAAAAACGCGGTACCGACGATCTGTCATCTGTGTGTACGTTCTGCTGGCGACTTGATGTTCTGTTGGGCTGCCATGTGCAATTACTGTGAGCGATAGCAGCGGCAGCTGAGGTTTATAGGCAGCTCGGCAGTAAAACCCGGAACTGAGGGGCCATCCTGCCCAGAGAGAGTAACAGAGACAGCAGACGGAAACCTGGGAGACAGAGAGACCTCTGGAGCCCCACGCCGATTAAGTGTGCGATTCCCCCATGTCTGCTTCTAAACCTGAGCTGTTTACACACTGAAACTTTCCATCTTCCCCAGGATGAATCCATCCCATCCCCCATGTTCCTGCACTCCAGATTGGCTCACTCTCTGCTCCTTACCATCATATTAACCTCTGCTTGTTCAGCTCCACAACAAGCCTGGATATTGGTGGCTCCCGTGTCAGCAGACAGCTCAGCTCATCCGACTTGTTGCATCTACCCTGTCCACCGCTTTCATTTTTCCTCTAATGTCGTTTTTCTCTCTTTGCCCGGCACACTTGAGGCTCTGGGTGAATTTTACAGGCATCGACACCCAGTCCCATCCCCGCCTTAGCTCCCTCAGCAGGTGCCTTAGGACAGGGTCTGGAATAAGCCTGTCACACGGAGGGAAAATAATGGCCTTTAAAAGCTACGCCACACCGGCCAAGAGAAGCATCCGTGATTTGACACTTGCTTTTTCGTACCCGCAATGCTGCTGTGTATTTAATCTTCTTCAAAGTGTCTGTAAACTGCTGTAATGTATCTCTAAGTGCACACTGTCCCATTACGTTTCTAAGAGATTCCAGTTAAATGGGACCCGTAAGAGCACAGAGTCTCACCGTTAATCGATTCGCAGGGAAAAGCATCACATACAGACCCTGTTTGTATTTATTTCAGGCTACCCCACCTCCCTGAGATTCTCCATCGTCTCCTTGAAACTGAGCTTGTGATTCAAAAACCATAAAAATACTTACTGCATCATACACACTACAGAATGGAACATCCTTCTTTTAAACACACATTGGCAATCTGTATTGTATTTGATGATATTTTTGGCTTATTCTGGTTTACTTGGTATACTGTGGCCTTGTGATTGAAAGGTTGCTGGTTCTAATCCCTGACCAGCAAGGTACCACTGAGGTACCCCAAGCAAGGTACCGCCCCCAAGCACTGTTCCTCGGGCGCTGAATTTGCTGCCCCCTGCTATGTCATGACGTCACATATGGGTTACATGCAGAGGACACATTTCGTTGTTGTGCACTGTGTGCTGTGGTGTTTCAAAAATGACAATTAATCACTTTACTAAACAGGCTGTTACTCTGTGTACTAAACAGGCTGTTACTCGGTGTACTAAACAGGCTGCTACACTATAGAGGTTGCTGCACTGCACAGGTTGCTATACTGTACAGGTAACATGACCCCCGGGACAGGGGACTCGGGGGGGCAGGCATGGTGGAGAAACAAAGATTAGAAATAAATGGGAGCACAGGGGATCGAAATGGGAGGACTGGGAATAAGCAACAAGACTGTATGATGTCAATGACCAGACTAGTGAGGATGTGGCAAACAAGGACTTATATACATAGACTAGGCAGGACGTGATAACAGGTTGGTTTACTGCAGAGGTAGTTATAGTCCACAGGTTGCTGAACACAAAATGACAAGCAGAGCATGCTGTTTGAACACTGATTACATCACCATTAGGCATTACAAAAAGAAAGGTCCGTTCTCTGGGAGCTGAGAAATGCTGAGTACCTTTCTATCATCACAGACACGCAGATACAGCTTTACAGAAACCAGGTGACACTGGAATACCGCATTCAACACTGTGAACCTGCAAAGTTTGTGTCGAGCTTTAAGGGGAAAGCGAATCGCGTGGAGGAGTCTGTAAAGCAAGTTAATAAAGCAGCGTGACACTGCATGAAGGGGAAGCCAGATCCAGCTGCACATTCCACATACAACACAGAACGCTTACCATTGCTTTAAAAGTGACCATATTCATTTGCATCGAAAACCTGAAATTTATAATTATTACCTAATATAATCCCGGTGGACAGAAGGTCACATTGCTCCATAGCTCTCATTTTAAGATCAGCTGGACCACCACCCTTATATCAGGGGCCTCTACATGCTGTGGAGACCATCAACTGAACCCCAAAAACACACTAAATTCATGACTGACGGAGCAACTAGTTCTGTCTCAGCTTCAGCTAAGAGCAGCTGCCAGACAACTAATAAAAATAAACCAGCTTCCGTAAAACCTCCGCAAGCGCCGAGGTAATTCTGTTGTGTCTGTTCCACGAAGCAAAGAGGGCAAAGTGGCTTCGGCGTGGTAACATTGAACAGAGGTGGAGATGTTCCATACACTCCGAGCCGCCCTACAGTCCGTCCCCCGTATCTGGGGACTGATTCAGCGAAGGTGACGAACACGCAGCCTCGTGGCTGAAAATGCAGCGAACAATAAACAGGCAGGGAAGCGAGGAGACAGAAACGGATCACATCAGATCAAAGCACTTCAGATGGGACGACAGCGCTGGCTGACAGCCTCTGCCAGAGCAGAACAAAGACGAGTGGCTGGGAAAGGAGGCGTCCCACAAGGCAGGAGTCCATTGGGCTGAAATCCTGGTCCAAAACGCATTCATCTTGTGTATTTATAATTGCAGCTTCTCCACTGCGTGTTACACCAAAAATGGACAAGATTTCTAACAGCATAATTCCAACTTGACGCATGAAATTGGACTTACGTGCCTGGAATGGGGGTAAACTGTACCCACTACACACCCCTACGTGTGAACAGACAGATAAATGAATTAATGTAAATCTACACGATAAGTTTCTTTACTAAGCGCCAGTTACTTTTTCGGCACTAGATAAGCGAACGTGCAGGGGGCGAAGGCTTGTTCACATCAAAGGAAGTTAATTATAATGATTGAGCACAATTTTAGTCATGGTATGTAATTACTGCAGTTTTCGCTTCAGATGATATATGTTTAATGTGACAAAAGGATAAAGATGATGGTGCTGAAATCGGATCAAGTGCCACACGGTGATATTACTGGCAGGTGCCTGAGTCGATGTCATGTCTGTGGGGCCCACTGGGCTGATTCAATCCCCTCGGCGACGCACTGAGCTCCGCTGCTCCGCGGCTGGGTGACATGCAGCATGGGGTTTACACTACGGCTAAATGTGCAGCGGTAGGATTGCAGGGGGATTGAATCAGGAGCCATTCGTGTGAGCTGCCGTGTCGCCGCGATGATGAAGGCAGCTGACGCGGCATTAAACACTTTTCTAAATCGCTGTCTCTGCAACAGCAGGGCAACACTTCAGTGTTGCGTTTCGGTGAAAATGTTTGATGTATTACTGAATAACATAAGGATAAATAAGTAACTAAAACACAATTTTCTCCGCTATTAGAATAGGACCAGATAGTGGAAAAGGAACGCTTTGCATTTGAAATGCTATAAAATGCACAAATTTGAGCCTATGAATTAATTGTAACCATTTATTTTGTTCACTCTGCTTTTCACAATGGCGGACGCCCACCTTCAGCGGACCACAGTCTTGGACTGGCATAGTTAATATTGTATATATGGCATGGAAATATACAAAGGTTCAAGTATAGATTCATAAACACCGTCAATTAAGATAAAGGACACTTGACATGAATCGATCGCTCTTTAGTATATCAATGATTTCTCAGGCGGATCTTAAGCGAAATAAGCACATTATATTGTCCTGTTATAATAACCAGCATGTTTACGCATTAAATAAGAGATTTCAGTCTTTAAGGTTAACACCCAGACGTTAAAGCGTTAAAACTCCTGCCGCGAGCGGGACGCTTGACAGCATGTCTATTGCCAGGAAAAGGACATTTTAAAAAGAGAAAAGACAGGCACAGCTGATATTTTACAGTGATTGTGAGTCAGAGTCACAACTTAACATTAAGATGCAAACACTGCCCCGTGATGCCTTTTTCTCAGCCGTCATTGACTGCAGTGAAACTGGCTGTAATCCGCAGGGCCCAGTCAATGTCAGCGCGCTTTAACTGCCAGAGAAACGTCCAACTCGCTTAAAACTCATCTGACTCCAGACATGGTCCATTCTACGCCAGTCTTTAGTAACACGGCCATCTGTGCACCAGACTCAATACGAATTACTGATCTGAAAACATTAAAATCTAGCAAAACTTCTATGCATGATACTTAAATAGGCCTATAACATTTCGCAAAGAGTAAAGGAAATGTATCAGAAATCGCCACCTCATCAGTTAGCTAGAATGTCTTTGCGGTTTAATTCAATTGATTTAAAAAAAATTATATAGCGCATTTCACAATAGAGTCATCCCAATGCACTTTACATGGTCGTGTTGTGGCACATTACAATATCATTAACGGGGCAATCTGTTATCAGGAAACCAGCTGCAGGTCCTTATCCATGTATACTTACAGCTGGCCATAGCTTTCCCGGGGGTATGACACTGCTGACAGAGCCTCGAAGCGGTACCGCCCAGAGGAGCAACAATGCCTTCTTAAAAAGTCGTTTGAAATCACTTTTATCATCTGTCCATCAATAAAAAATACTCTATATAAATTGTCGATATCTGAAAACGAAGTATATTTAAAAAAAAAAAACACGTTATATATGATAATAATGAAGCAGTTTACGTTTGCACATTGGTACAGTATTTCAGGAATACTGCTGTCTTCCTAACCAAAGCGGCATCACCAAATATAAACCAGATTAACTGTCACTGCGCCAGGAGAGTGTTACTGAAACTCGGCAGACAAGAGCTGCAGGTTACCTGTTCCATCACATGCAAATTCATCTACCTGAGCGACGGCTACAAAAGGGCTTTAATATGCTTGTATATCTGGTTACTTACGGGTGCCATCGAAGCGGGTGGCAATGGTGTCGAGGAAGGTGTTCTGTGGGGCTAGCAGACCTCTCATGACCGGCATCCTGGTCCGAGTGGAGGGCGTTCTCCTGGCTCGGCGCCCCGAACCTGTCGCCTCAGACTCGGACCCGAATCCCGGCAAGAACCGAGAGGTGCCAGGCGCGCCCCCGAGCCCCTGGAGGAGCGCGCTGATCCGAGACACTCGGGGCTCCACTTTGAGGCCGGAGTTATCACCACATCCTTCAAAGGGAACCTTGAAAGTCGGGTCTAAGACCCACAACTTAGCCTCGACTTGAGTCGAGAGATCGTAAGCGTAACCTGAGTGTTTTTATGTCAAACGTGTACTTTATTTCCTTGCATATGAAAGTTATTCTGGAAGCGCGGGTGCTCGCGTCTCTGGTGCTGATGCTGCTGTCTCCAGTAGCGATGTTCTCCTGGAGGGCAGTTCAGCGCGCTCCCCTTCTCTCTCTCCTCCTCACTGCCTCGCTCTCTCCTTCTCTCTCTCTCTCTCTCTCCTCCTCCTCCTCCTCCTCACTCCCCCTTCCCTCTCGTTGTCTGTGACTCGTGTCGCCTAGTTTCTTCTGCTACCTCCAGCCGACGTCGTGTCACATTCCCGCGGGCGTGGATAGACGGCTTACACGGCATGCATCAGTATTGTTACCCTGTGCCAGTGTGCATAAGAAATAAAGTTCACTGTCACCGCTATGGCGCATTCCTCAGCTGTGCATGAAGCGGTGTTAACATCTTTATGGGATTTAATATGAACACCATTTTAGTGTAAGACAGATATCGGGATTGTGCACAGTAATATTTAATAGAAGAATTATATCGTATCATTTCACTAATAGGCCAGTCCATTCAGCTCTGCTCTCGGCCACAGCCACGCCTTATAAACATGCACAACCGTAACTCTTATCAAACCAAACCAAAGTTAAAACCAGCACCCCCCCCCTCCCCTTTAATACCCCCCTTCAGTGACCCCCAATTTTCGGTCCCTTGCTTTTACTATCCACAATCATTCCATTCCTTAGGGAGACCACAAGGACAGCAACAACTATAGGGACCGTTTACAATAAGACTGTAACTTATTCCTAATATAATATTTAGTAACTAATATTCCTGTACTGGGTAATCGGTTAAGGAAGCCAGAATTTTGAACTTTCACATGTTTAAATGATAAATTAGTTAGATTGCTTCATTGCACAATTTTGTCGCATAATAGATTTTATTAGATAATCGAGTCATTCACTGCTATATTTTCTAGTCTGATAATAAATACAATCACGTTTATATGGCTCTAGCCACTTGATGTGCATTGATGCACATGCTGTAATTAAATCGATACATTTATAGGACTCAAGAGCACTTTTTGCAAATTGTCTGCTTCATATGTGATGCATTAAATTAGGCTATATCAAATTGCCTTTGTGTGAATCACTTTAGTAATTCGAGAGGCTTTGATTGCTTTACGCTTCGCGTACTTCGAGGCCCTGGTAGACTTATGTACCTGCTAATGAAATAAAAGCGGAATGCAGCCGTAAACGTACAAACCGGACCACAATAAGTTGCGATCTCCCTTCAGCACCGCCAGTTCTTAGTTTAAAATGGGACTCAGTCCATGTAATGAAAAAAAAATGGCCTATTTTATAGTATTACGTACTCCGTCGTGGGTAGTATACGTGAAATACGTAATATATATGGATCAACCCTAGTTGGGATAGCTGTGAAGAGCTGACACATCAGTGCTAACTTTCGGGATGGCGCTCGTGACATGGTATCAGGACTTTAATGTTATTCTTGTTTACATCTCATTAAGTACAACAAACATTTAATTTAAAATATAAACTACAAATTAACCTGAACCATTATTTTCAATATGTCATTAATAATACAAAACTTTAATTAGTTTTTCATTTCTTGTGTTGAACCGTGAAACTCCAAACATAGCTAAATCAATTTAAAACTGTTTGGTCGAGATAAACAATTCTGAAGATACCCCTGGCGTGAAAGGCAACAAAATCTGTGTTTTCCCTTCAGACATCCAATCCATCGCAGCGCACACATTCTCCCGGTAATAAACTACGAATGATTTAGAGACAACAATTACTCTGATGAATGTCTATGGCCTGTGGGAGGAGACCCAGGTACCCGGGGGAAATCCATGGAGAGAACTTGCAAACTCCACGCGCACACTGCAGATCCAGTGCCACGCACTGAGCCGCGCTGCCGCCCTTTTCTTCACGCCTGCGAGATAAAGGAGTTGTGCTGGCACTCGTCTCCACGGCTTCTTGCTCCTTCCTCTTGACTGGTTAATTAACCATCTTCAACTAGCAGACTGGCTCACCACGCCTACTTGAAATGGTTTTGGTCCTTAGAGAAGAGCGTCAAGCTTGAGAAGATTCAGCTGGAGTAAAACTGCTTACCTTACAAGTCCCAAATCATTAACTCCCAGAAGCATAATTTCTTTAATTACATGGTCTACGGTGGTATGACAGGATCTCAAATCCAAACACATCGTGTGTATGAGAGTTAATGGAAAATATGGTAATGAGAACAATAGTTACATAATTTGACCAACTTCATTCATTAAGGTACGTTGTTATTTTGGTTTTTGAACTAAACACTGCAATTACTTGAATCTAGGTTAATATATGCGTCTATCTCGATTTAAAGTGATGCAAATATTACAGTTTTATTTTATTTACTATTAAATGTGCAATAATTTTTATTATCTTTAATAGCTGTGCTGGTGCTGATATAAACATGCTTTTTAATGGAATAACCCCGTTTGAAAGGAATTTATGTTGTAAATTAACTTGAATCCTTGAAATCTGGTTTTGGAACTGACCCATTCAAACTATACTAACTAAACCAGGCATATCATATGAAGACTATTCTTGCACTACCTCTCCTCATTTTCAAATGTCATTCTTGATAAGATTCAAAGGTATCTAAGGAGACTGAAAATTCGGTGGTGAAAATGCAAGGTGGCCAGATGACAATGGTGATTTGGGAGAGACTTAAGGAGAAGCTCATCTGTTCACTTCTGGAGAGCTACCTGCACAGGGGAGATCTGATCACAAAAGAGGTTATAACGTGCGGCTTAACTGGAGCTGCACGTGCACCGGGCCACTGCTGCAATAAACAAACAAACAAAAAAAATCTGGTTTGAACTTTTGGAATATACAAAAGGGGTAAAATATCAAATTGGAGCCACTTCACAGCAAATTCCCAGGTTGCTTTTTATTGCCAGTCCGCCCCTGTTCATAGCCCTAAAGAAATGAAAGAAAACAACTAATTGCAGACTAAGGACATGACATGCAGGTACCTTTGAAGTTCTACCAGGCAATGAGGGACCTCATACTGTAATTATAGTGGAATGAGAAAGATTTTGTTTGGGGAATAATTTATTGGATCTCTACAGTAGGAAATAAGGAGCTTTTAATTCCCAGCGCTAAAGACTCATCATTGATTTTGAGTAGTCTTAGCTCAAGGACCCCACGACTGCAGCTGAAAACACAGAAAACACAAAGAGTAAGTTACACTCCTCTCGTAGCCTCCATCTTTGCCTGGACACAGGGTCAGTCCAATTGAACAGAGTTGGACAAGCATTCAGAGCTGCATATAGAGACCAGGCTGCATCAAAGGCCTACCCAGGTGAACGAGACAGTCTGCTCTTCGCATGGGCTTTTTCCTCTTGCGTAGTAATCTTTAGCAATTATTTAGTTTTGCCGCTAGGGGCCACCAGAGGACAAATTTCGTTTAGCCAAATAAGTGAACTACATTATATTAAATGTTGTCGATGTGCACGAAGGCAGAAACCTATTTATAGGACACATGTATAATAATTATTTATAACATGTAATATTTGAGCTAATACCATTCATGAGCTTATACTTCTAAAATATTTTAGATAGATTCACACCTGTTATTACATATTTGTGTAAATATTTAGACAAACTTTGCTGAAATTGCAAAATAAAATTGCTAAATTGCCGGCCCCTGGAGGATGGGCTCCCCCTTTGAGTCTGGTTCCTCCCAAGGTTTCTCCTTGCCCCTGTCGCCTCTGGCTTGCTCACTGGGGGCTTTGGGCGGGGGTGCTGTAAAACGCTTTTGAGGCAACGTAATGTGAAAATGAGCCTTATAAATAAAAGTGAACTAAATTGAATAAAATAACTGAAAATGATTCCTAACAGATTACAATATCATTTTAATCATGTTTAGCTACCAGCACTCAATCCAACCCTCATCTCTATCTCTCTGTCTTAATTTGTATCCAGTATTTGATGCTTATTATCTGAAAAGCATCGAGTTCGTTGACAGGCAGTCCAGTCAGAGCAAGCTGTGATCTTGCCCACGCAAATGCACACATGCAGATCACGAATGGAGGCGTAACAACGACAAAAACCACTGATATCGTCATCCATCAATCCATCCGTCCATCCATCCATCCATCCAAATTCAAACTTTTATGCGAGTATGTTTACAGTGTGCAAGTATGCTCCCTGTAGACCCAACTGTATTCAGCCCACCCCACTCAGAGTGCGTTTTCAGTGTGTGTGTGTGTGTACACTCCCCATAGACTCATCAGCACCCCTCTCTCTGCACACACCTTCCAGAATAAGTTGTGATCCAATCAGCAGAGTATCAGTGATGTATATCACAAGGTGTGGACTGCTCTGGCTCCCGGGTCTAGAAGTGAGGGCCCTCACTATGGGTCAAGCCTTTTAGCATTGTGGCTATTGTCTCTCAGTAATTGGATTTCTCCGTGGAGAAGAGGATCTCATTTGGTGCTATGAGGCCTAGACAGGCAGCTGAAAGGTTGGATCATTAGCGCTGGATGAACTCGGGTGCTCTGCAGAGCCGAGGCATCCGCAGTGTTGAACTGTCATGTTTGTCTGGACTGCCATGTTTGTTTGGAAACCTGTTTGTTTGGAACTCTTTGTTTGTACCCTGTTTTCCCCTCTGCAATACTCTACTGTTTGAGCCATGATTATATGACCAGAGTTATATGAATTATAAGACAGTCTGCACAGTGACACTCAGCAAACAGACATCAGAAATTGCTTTCCTCATTCCTTATTTATCTGAGCTAAATGCTATCCATGCCTTAATGACTACAGACATTTGAGGATTCTACTCCTCACTGTGTTTCTTTTTGTCTTCAATCATTTTTGATGTTACTTTACTTTGGCTTTAAAATCTATGCATCTTCCATAACCACTTTTCTCAACTTCATTTTTAATGTTTGTACAAAGGCTATATATTTCTGAATTCACATTCATATTCTTTTTACGAAAGAATTTTAAAAACTTTTTCAGTTTGTTCCTGATTAGTACCTTCGCAGACCATGACTTCTGTTCTTTGCTCAAGACTAAAATATACTTCTTACCACTTCCTGTTGATAAAAACATGCATCCCATCAAACACTGTAAATGGCAGAAACGCTCTAAGTTCCT